CTCACGTCACGCGTCTCTTGGCATATTTCCATATGCTATAGTTTTTAATTGAGTGGATTGCTTGCTTTATTTTATTATTTCCACTGCCTTAACAAACAAGAAAATGAGCTCCTGTTTCTTTGTGGACCCTACTCCCAACTAAACCCCATAAATTATTATTATTGCGTTCCCATTTTCCACCGACACCCACCCCACCTACTATTTCACTATAAAATTCTAGCAATAATAGAAGCAAATTAAAATTTGGTTCTTTGCTTTTCAATGATGCAAGTCGGTCGACATGGTAACCACGTAGGTCATGTTCATGTTCCAGGACATGAATTTATTCTCACCACAATTATAGAATATAATTGGTGGCACTGAAAAATGCATAAAGAAATAAAAATTGTTCACATAGTTTTTGCCATTAAATTTTCAAGAAACTATAATATATATGCAAATATGAGTATAAATATTAAATCCTACGAATATTCATGCGACCGAAATTAAGTAAAAAAAGAGGAAAGAATCAAATCAAATCCAAGAACAACAAAACTTCAAACCAAAAAACTAAAATAAAACGATTATTACGCTGTGTAAAAGTAATTTCCTTCGGACGGATCTTGATTCAGTGATTATCAAGCTTGCACTTGAATTAGACGCGCTGCTGTGACTGAATTTCCGGTGGGAAGTTTTCTTCAAACAGTCCACTTGATGATCTTGATTCTTGGATCAAGCTTGCACTTGAGACCGGTGGTTTTCGCCACCGTGGCTGCTTTTCCGGTGGGGACTGAAATTTTAATGCCGTCACAAGTAACCCTAATTCTGAGCTTCTTAGTTTTCACTTTCCCGACTTTCACTTTTACTTTGGTATCCAGCTGGATTTTCAGTGGCAGATTCTTGTTCTTCAAGCTGGACTTCAGTGGAGAAACGTCTGTACCATCGGAAATTTGATTTGAGCTTGATATTACAGATTTCAAAGTGGTGACATTCTTTTTACCATGAACAAATCCCGGTAAAGATCCATCACCGATGGTGAAGTCGCCGGAAAATACTTTTACCAATATGGGATCGTAAAAGAAGGTGATTTTCTTGTTGGGATTACGCGCAGTGACAGTCAGGTTGAAGGTGGAGATTATGACGGTGTTGGTGAGGTTGAATTTGGAGAGCTGGAGGGAGGAGACGGCGAAGGAGGGGCGGTGTGGGCGGTAGAGCACCCAGAAGACGGCTCCGGCTATGGCAGCGAGGAGGAGAATCAGGAGGATCATGAGGGTAGTCCAGAGACAGCAGGAACAAAAGAAGCTCCGGCGTTGTCGACGCTTGGGCGGAGGCTGGGGGCGGTACATGGGACGAGTGGCGTTGTAGAGCTGGGCTTTGTTGACCGGGAATGTTGGGTTGGCTCCGCCGTTAGCGACGGTGGTGGTAGCTGTTTCATCTCCATTCGCCGCCGGTTTGGCTGATGGGTAGACTCTGTCGGTCATAGCGTCTCTTGCCAAATTTTTGGACTTTGCCCTCAATTCTTCTGTATATTAAGAGAGAGTGAGAGACAGATGTATATGCATTTATATATACATATAGAGAGAGGGAAAAAAGTGTTGACAGATTAAGGAGACAATAACTGCTTAACCATTAATGAGTAATTATACAAGTTACTTAATTAATTGACTTCTTAATGACAATATATTAATATTGATAAAAAAAAAAAATTTGACATATTTATCAAAATCAAATTAGGTTCAATTAGGGTTTTATACACTACACTAATGCTCCGACCCTCCAACTTATTTTCAAGATTTAATATACGTTATAAGTGTTAATTTCATCAATGATTATCAAACTTTATATTCAGTGTCATCGTGACCATTCAATTATGAAAAATGAAAAAAAATGAAAAAGAAAAGAAAATGTGGTGGTGAAATAGACCTTAGACCAATATGGAACCAAAACAGATGTGTTCCACTTCCACCACTAACAATGGAATCTGGATTGCACCGTTGACCACGACACGTGTGGAAGAGATCACCATTACATGCATTATAAGCTCCAAAAACCCATCTTCCTAATCCATGCTATCAACGCGACATCAAAGAAACGTACAAAAATGAATTAAGAAACATAAAAAATCCTCCTTGCAATTTTGTTCTAAGAGACTACCTCGATTTGAATCGACCTATTTAGCAGAACAAATTAATTAATGACACAGGTTGAGGTCGAATTCAGTGCATGTTTGACAAAGTTAGTAAGCATTCGAAAGTTTAATCGAGTTAGTACTTTACTTTACGACGTTGAAATAACTCAGGCCATACTCCCAAGAAAAACTCGAATGGCCATTAAGCAAAAAGATATCTTTACTCGGAACCTTTTCATCTTTCTTCTACTTATTCTTTTATTTATTGATTGTACAATACTTGGAACAAAGACCGCTCATTTATGAAAATAGGCCTAAACATATGCCAATGGACTCGTGAAAAGGAGGATATGCCAAAATTGGTAAACGCTATCAACTTATTTGGAATGAGCCTTGGTATGAAAATGGGTGTGTTTGATGAATATTATTGAAAAAAAAATATTTTAAATAGTGATATGATAAGAAATATGTGGTTAAAAAGAAAGCAAAAGTTATTAATGTGATAAAAAATATTATTTTACTGAAAAATGTGTGGTTGAAAATAATTTTTGAAAGAATGTATTTTTAGAGAATGTGTGTCAAACATGGGCTAAGTGATAGTTTTCCAATTCAGATAATCTCGAAATTAATAAAAATCGGTAATCCGGAGCTTAAAATTAATCGATTCGTGTTGAAGACAGACTGCCTTACGACTTTAGATATGAAACAAGACAAAAGTCATAAAATTTAGTCTTGTAGGCACATAAAATTGATTTTGCATACCAAAAATTGATGAGCTGTGGTTTGGCTGGTTGGAGACGTACCAGACCAAGAATTTGGTTTTACAAAAGGTCAAGGTGGAGAGGAGCCTACACAATGTGGCCTAATTAATTTTCTGGTTCTTTTGCATTTCTGCAAATAAAATATAAAATAATTAACTAATAAATGGTTAATATATAAAAATCAGTCAATGGATAATTCCCTCAAATATTTAAAAGTTAGAAAAAAGAAAAATATACATATGAACTTGAAGAAAAACACCTAAAATTTGACAAAAAGACTAAAGAAATTAACTTTTTTTTTTTTATCAATCTTTATTGAGTGTGGCTGACCCTGGAAGATTAATATTTATGTTATTAGCACCGGGAGATCTTAATAATTATTCAAGCTATACGCAAAAAAGTAGGGATGATGTGGAAGTGGACTGGAATAACAACGTTGACCTTTCGGGCTTGTAGTTTACTGTTTGTTTGTCATGAACGCTTAATAGGTTGGGGTGTAAGGACATAGCCCTCGCGATACTGTATAAGAGTATTGCTAGGTTTTCCTAATATCTTGTACGTGTTGGGGTTAGTATATGTGTATGTAGTAATCATATTTTCACATAATAAAATCATAGTCACTTCGTTCTCGTAGATGTAGATCTATTGTCGAACCACGTAAATCTTTATATTTTCTCCATCGCTTTCTCTTTGTTGATTCCATAATTATTGCCTACGTAACGTACACCCATAGAAATTTTTTAGGGTTTTCTTGTATTTTCTCCATCGTTTTCTCTCGAAGAATTTAATTTTGCTTAAAGGGGATTTCGCAGTGGGCCAGTTTGGTCCGACTCTCTTCTCAAATCGATGGTTCTTTTGGGTTTTGACCGTTCTAAAGAGTATTGATCCTTTAATGCAATTCGGTTCGGTTTTGATAACTATGTTAGAAGGATCTTATTCGTAACATCTAGAAAGTTATTGTAAGGAGATATTGCTAAAACAAAATTCTAAAAATTAAGGAAACTGACAAAATGATGAATTTGTCCAAAATTACAAGACTCTTCTTATAGTATCCAATGGATCGCTCATCAATTCTCAATCATAGCTTAGTTGCTTGACTATCTCGAAGAATTGCTCACTGACGTTAGACTTTCAAAAAGTGAAAACCGTCTTCTTGTTGCTGATTGTCTTTTCTTAAATAATTTGAATTAGATAATGTTTGCATAATACCATAAATAAAACTTTCCAGCTTTAGTAGTCTCCAATAATTACTGTCACCTAAGAAATATTTAGAAACTTTTTTCTTAGATTTTTGAAATATCATTTCTCTAGTCCTAGATGGGCCTTTTAAAAAAATCATATGAAGAGTGATTTGAAAGTAAAAAATACTGTGTAAAGTTAAGTGTCGGTTTTTAATTAAAATGTGACATACAATATCACTTACTTTATTTGAAAGATTTAAAGGATTTATGCTTCTGTTGCGTTAAATATGGAAACAGTTCAGTAAATGACATAAATTAAAAAAAGTGACAGAAATTAAAAAATTAGAAACATAAATCGAAACCTTTAATTAGAATGGATCAAGGGTGGTTGATTTTTTACAATATGTTGTCTTTTTGTAATTATGTTTCACTTCATTTTAGGAACAGAACACTCTATATGTTGGATGTGACAAAAATTCAAAAAAATGATACACACTCAAAAAAGTGAGGGATAGATAAATGGATAGTTGATTTTCTTTACATAAAAGTCTCTAATTTTAAAGGATAGTAACTTTTTTCTTTTAGAGTGTCTTTCGCGTAGCGTACTTCTCCATAGTGCACAAATAGATCGATTCACAGATTGGGCACAAATAGTTGAATTGTTAGACACACTTGATATCACTAAATTAACCAAAAGAGATAATATTCAAAGAATCAAGAAAGAAAATAGAGAGGTTTATCCAAGTTCGGCTATGAAAATGGCTACTTCCAAGTTGTGCTCCACTTAGGGGAACTCTTGCAATTCAAGATTACAAGAGACGTTCAATTGCGAGAGGTTTATCCAAGTTCGGCTATGAAAATGGGATGAAGGTTCAACACGAGGTGAATGGGAAACTCTTGCAATTCAAGATTACAAGAGACGATCAATTGCGAGACTTCAACATTCACCTGTCAATACAAGATTCATAGTGCATGTGAAGATTATTTCTCATTGCAACTAAATCAAGCAAGCACGTGTGTTGTTGGTGATATCATGAGCTGCTATTGTGCACTGCTGGGACCACCATATTGTTGAAACAGATTTTATTCTTCACATGATTATCATTCCCTACCAGCTTGCTCTCCACTCAATCTGCTGTATATATATTTTACCTCACTTGTATCAATTATGAAGTTGAATATACTTCATTAGATTTCAGCTCCTTATCTGAGTTTTATATACTTCAAAATCTGTTATTTTAACTTGGTATCAGAGCAGTGAAATGGCCAATACTGGATCAGATGATAATGCACAATCTGCACTGCCTAACTCCAGCACACTGGTGCCTCCATTGCTGGGAGGACATCAAGTGACATCAGTTGGAATCACTCTCACCCAGGTGCCACCGGTGAAGCTAGATAGGAATAACTTCCTCCTATGGAAGAACATGATTATGCCAATCATTAGAGGACATAATCTTGAAGGGTTCATTGATGGAACCAAAACCTGCCCAGCAGAATTCCTTGCAATTCAGACGACTGGATCTGCTGGAGCCACAGTGGAAATGACACCAAATTCTGACTATGGAAAATGGATGTCGACTGATCAGTTGTTGATGGGTTGGCTGTACTCATCAATGACATCTGAGATTGCCATGAGGGTAATGGGATCATCAA